GGGAGGATGTAGGGGAGGATAATGAGTGTGGCGTTAGGTACAGTCTTTCACAATCATATACACGTGGAAGGGTCCGTTGCAAATAAGTATATTTTTAAATTTCATGAAGAGCGAAGAAAAGGAAGGCATTTACAATGTTCAAGGGCAGTTTCTTTAAGGAAGCTGGCAAACTGCCTTACAAGAGTTTTTCCGAAAGAATATTTATCTCGCAGGGTTCAATAAGGAATGAAAAAATTTGGGGCTATAAATTCGGTAAAAGAATTCCTTTTTTTCAATTTTCAACAAATCTAATAAAGAAATAGGGAAGAAGGAAAGAAAACGTGGGAATCTGCTCAACGAACGTTGCATGGAAGAAGTTTGAAAATATTGGGTTATGCGTCCGCCATTGCCCGAATAATATTAATTTATTAAAATGAACAGCTTTCGATGGCTTAGCCATATCATCAGTTTTCTGCTGTATGGGAAGCACAAGACGACTAACGATTGGAAATGCAACGGAATTTCAACCAAATATCTAGTAAATGAGAGTTTGATTCGCCGCAGAAAGGATATATAAATAAAAAAAATAAATCGTTATTTTTACCGGGAAACCACGCAAAACGTCATTAATGGTGGTGATACTGATTAATGAAGGAATACAGGCATCAGAGTCAGCGGGAAAGATGTGGACGATGAGGGCTTGAGCAGAGTCAAATCACGTGAAATTTTGTTATTTCTTCCATGGCGAGCGAAAGCACTTTGAAAATTTAGAATTTAAGGCTACCGCGTGCGGTGGCGGCACGCTAATGTTTTTTTTGGTTTGGGGCAGACGACAGATGCAAGCGGTGAGTAGCTAGAAAGTAAAGAATGTAAAGTTCGATACTTAAATCTGTCTAAATATATTGTTAATCACACCATTTGTGCAGAGTTGTTTCTCTATGTTTCTTCCTATCATCGGCTAAGTTATTTGAAATAGTTTTGTTTTCGACACCGCGTAGGACTAAAGTAGCGCTTTTTCGAATATCGTACTACACGGCGCCATAAGTTACATTTTGCAGAAGATAACTGCAGAATATTGTGCGGAAAGAGCAAAAACGAATTTCGGGTGATCACTTCTGAATGTGTAATATTTAATAAAATGTGCTGCAGTCAAAGTTCTGGATTATGCTTGGTTTGTGACTGAAGTAAAGCACATAGTAGATCACATATGTTGAAGGTTATACCCCATGAGTTTTTACATTGCGCCGTGGAAATTGCTGTATCGTTAGTAAAGGCACCTCCACTGTTAATACGATGGTTAGGGTCAGATTGAACCTACAATTTTGGCATTTTTTTAATTTACATGCCTATCAGAATCAAGCTTATTTCTGCTCTAAACAGCAACAGAACGTAACTCTAGGCGTTTATGATATAGAAATCAGGACTAGAATTGTAATCTACAATTTTTTTT